CCATGTTTCTTTGCTAAAAGTTTTTCTAGTTTATTTTCTCCTTAATAGAAAAACCGATGATGGTGGAAAAATACACCGAAACGAATTTTAATTGATAAATAGACAATAAATGACTGAAACCCAGGAATTAATTTTGATTTGGAGTTGTTCTTTTCGTAAAATCTCCCAGTAATCTTAGGTGGAAACTTCCGCACCGCAAGGCCTGAGCAGAGTTCACATTTCCAGGTCAATCCAGTCGAAAAAGCAACTCTTCTGCGAAACGCTGGCCGGAATAAATCGAGTTTGGATTTAGCGCCAGATCCAAATATTCAAATGTCGTTTGCGCGTTATGAGATTTCCAGATTAAATTTGATTGTTTTGTGTACCCTCGTTAGGATTTCAGCGGCAACAAGAATGCCGTCCTTTTGCCTAAACCTGCAACCTGCCGGAATTTATCTTAATTGGCTGCCAGATTATGACGATAAAATATAATAAGAGCTCGTACGATAAGAGCTCGTTAGAGCTGTTGTAGACAAAAAGGCCGCCTTAAAAATTTCCATTTCCATTCCATTGATGTTGCAGATAATAATTTTTGTGCATCAGCTCATAAGTCATTAACACTATTTACGAATCGGAAATTTGCTAGCTGAATTATTTGGAAACCTATCGAAAGCAACACCCGCCGGGCCTAAAAGCCATTACGTGTCCGAAATTCGGCCGGTTAATAATTCTGGATAATAAAAACGGGGGATTTTGGACAAATTCACTATTGGGCTTCGATTGGGTGCATTGGCGCTGAAGACTGGCTGGAAAGTTTCCCATTGGCCAAATGAGACAAACTAACAGAATCCACACAAAAACGTAATGAACCGCACACGTCAGTTAGGCAAAGATTAATCTTGTTGGAACCGAACCGGGACAACTTACGCCTAGCAACTGCGGTTTTCCAGCCAGAATCCGGTGTATTTCGACTTTTCCGTTGCTTCCGCCGCCCGACAAGAAAAACAAAGGAATCCGCAGAAAATTGGATAGATGTCCAGATGGACATCTGCGGTATTTTTCAAGTAAACACTGCCACGGTGTGCGATATTTTATCATTTCCTTTTCACGTTGTTGTTGAAAAATTGAACATTCTATRCACGGAAAATCGACGTATTGTGTGGGTTGGTTCRATTAATTGCTTTGGAAAATCCATTTCGACAGCACATTAATACATTTTCGGATATGGGCGCGTTTATTCAGTTGGTGTTTGTTCGRTTTGTCTGTTTCCKAAACCTGTTTTTTTCTKGCACTCTCGTTTGCAAAACGTCTCTTGTTTGACCTCGGTTTTTCAAATCCTCACTTTCCTTCCTTCTGATTGCTGTGGTGCAACAGCAACGGTTTTTGCACTTTTGCATTGCTTTAACGTTGTGCTGCATTTGCTTKMACTWYGKKCTTTCATAGACTATTTCTCARTAAATCGACCACCTTTTTCCAGCAGTCTTTAAGGAAAGCTTCACTCTCGCAGCTGTGTAAAGCTCAACTGAATCCATTCGCTAGTTTCTTTGAAATAAAATCGGGAACTTTGAAATTTTTTTTTAACAGTTAACCCCATTAAGACTATGTCTTGCAATACTCAGCAGAGATTTCAAGCTATGAAGTCCAAAGGCCTTTAAATGAAACTTGATTGTTTCTTCCCACAAATTTTGTATTGAATGCATCCATCATTATTTTGTCAATAAATCTTAACTTTAGATATATTTTTTTATTTTGCCCCAATTCTGCAGCTGGATTAAATCTCACGCTACTGTCTTCTGCAGCATTTAAATCAAGCTTCAGCTGCAAGTATTTTCTGTACCAATCAAGTCTTAAGAGATTTTTGTGAATTTGCCCCATTTCCTCAGCCCAATCTTCAGGAGGTCATTCCTCAAAAAACGGATTAAATCTCACGCTACTGTCTTCAACAGCCTTTAAAGCATGCTTTAGTTTCACTCCCTTGGTCCTTTCAACTCAATTGATGAAGTATTTTCTTTGCAAACTAAATGTAAACTTTGGACGATTTTTTTAATTTTTCGTATTTCCGCATTCCAATTTTCGAGGCGCCATTTCTCAAAAATCGGACGCAATCTCAAGTAATTTTCTTTGGCAGCCTTTAAATCAAGCTTCAGCTTCATTTTCTTGAGCGTTATAACTGTATCCGTAAAATATTTTCTGTGCCAATCGAATCTAAACTTAAGAGATTTTTTTGAATTTGTCCCATTTCCTCAGCCCAATCTTCAAGAGGCCATTTCTCAAAAACGGGATTCAATCTCACGCTACTGTCTTCAGCAGCCTTTAAATCAAGCTTCAGTTTCACTCCCTTGGTCCTTTCAACTCAATTGATGAAGTATTTTCTTTGCAAACTAAATGTAAACTTTGGACGATTTTTTTAATTTTTCGTATTTCCGCATTCCAATTTTCGAGGCGCCATTTCTCAAAAATCGGACGCAATCTCAAGTAATTTTCTTTGGCAGCCTTTAAATCAAGCTTCAGCTTCATTTTCTTGAGCGTTGTAACTGTATCCGTAAAATATTTTCTGTGCCAATCGAATTTAAACTTCAGAGATTTTTGTGAATTTGCCCCATTTCCTCATCCCAATCTTCAAGAGGCCATTTCTCAAAAACCGGATTCAATCTCACGCTACTGTCTTCAGCAGCCTTTAAAGCATGCTTTAGTTTCACTCTCTTGGTCCTTTCAACTCAATCGATAAATAATTTTCTTTGTAAACTAAATGTAAACTTTGGCAATTTTTTTAATTTTTCGTATTTCCGCACCCTAATTTTTGAGGAGTCATTTCTCAAAAATCGGAGGCGATCTCAAATCATTCTCTTTCGCAGCCTTTAACTCAAACTTCAGCTTCATTATCTTGAGTGTTGTAACTGAATCCGTAAAGTATTTTTTGTTCCAATCAAATCTAAGCTTAAGAGATTTTTTTGAATTTGCCCCATTTCCTCAGCCCAATCTTCAGGAGGCCATTTCTCAAAAACCGGACTAAATCTCACGCTACTGTCTTCAGCAGCCTTTAAAGCAAGCTTCAGTTTCAGTCTTTTGGCCCTTTCAACTGAATCGATAAAGAATTTCGTTTGTAAACTAAATGTAAACTTGGAACATTTTTTTTTATTTTTCCTATTTCTGCACTCCAATTTTCAAGGCGCTATTTCTCAAAAACCGGGCCCGATCTCAAGTCATTTTCTTTCGCAGCCTTTAAATCAAGCTTCAGCTTCATTGCTGCCTTGAACGTTGTAACTGAATCCGTAAAGTATTTCTTGTTCCAATCAAACCTAAGCTTAAAAGATTTTTTTGAATTTGCCCCCATTTCCTCAGCCCAATCTTCAGAAGGCCATTTCTCAAAAACCGGACTAAATCTCATGCTACTGTCTTCAGCAGCCTTTAAAGCAAGCTTCAGTTTCACTCTCTTGACCCTTTCAACTGAATCGATAAACAATTTCGTTTGTAAACTAAATGTAAACTTGGGACATTTTTTTTTTATTTTTCGTATTTCTGCACTCCAATTTTCAAGGCGCCATTTCTCAAAAACCGGGCCCGATCTCAAGTCATTTCCTTTCGCAGTGTTTAAATCAAACTTCAGCTTCATTGCCTTGAACGTTGTAACTGAATCCGTAAAGTATTTCTTGTTCCAATCAAATCTAAGCTTAAGAGATTTTTTTGAATTTGCCCCATTTCCTCAGCCCAATCTTCAGACGGCCATTTCTCAAAAACCGGACTGAATCTCATGCTACTGTCTTCAGCAGCCTTTAAAGCAAGCTTCAGTTTCACTCTTTGGGCCCTTTCAACTGAATCGATAAAGAATTTCGTTTGTAAACTAAATGTAAACTTGGGACATTTTTTAAAATTTTTCCTATTTCTGCACTCCAATTTTCGAGACATCATTTCTCAAAAATCGAACGCGATTTCAAGTCATTTTCTTTCGCAGCATTTAAATCAAGCTTCAGCTTCATTTTCTTGGGCGCTGTAACTGAATCCGGCTAAAGCGGACAAATAATTTTTGGGATCCGAAAAGTTTACTGATTTTGGCAGGACTGAAAGTCGCAGGTTTTCGGACACTAAAAACTGTTAATTAAAAAAATCATATAGTGGAAAAGCTGATGAATTAATTTGATTTTTAATTTTAGATATCCAGCGGTCAATCGCTGATTTCCCACTATGTCAACCTGGATATCGTCGTACCTGAAGCCACGATCCAGGGAAGCGCATCTGGAGAACATCACGTGGATGTTGGAAGCATAATTGATCTGATTTGTATTATTGATAATGTAAGTATCGCTTTGAAGCTGGGAAAGCGTGAAACGTTTAAGGCACATTAAGCAAACGACTGCTGCATGATTACATATTTTCCAGTGAACGTAAACTAAAGCATATCTGGACATAATTACGAGCTGCCCGGCACACAAACAAGCCAATTTCCGATAAAACTTCCGTGATTAATAAAAAATCCAGAAAATATATCGCTTTATTTGCAGATTGCCGATCCACTAGGGCATGGGAGCGACTAAAACTTCGCATTCTAAAGTTGTATAATTTAAATTACATTTCGAGCGCATTAAGTGAATCGGACGCAAAGTTCCAAGAAAAATGTTGCTTATCACTTAGTTTGAACGTCCTCACTCAATATGGAACTGAGCTAATAAAAGGAAAAAATTAATGAGAATTTTACAAGTAAACTTTTCATCGCCCCACTTTGTTACAACCAATACACTGATGACGTTTATAATGAAACTTCGTAAAAACTTTCGCAACTTGCGGTTTAATCGACGTCGTACATTCGAGTGATGGGCGTTCGCTGTTGCTTGAAGCGAAAACTTCTTTTGCGTAGATCGGAAGATCAGCGAATGTTTCCAGATTAATGTTTAATGTCTTTGTTTTTTCCAGTTTATTGCTTATAAGAACTGATGCATGAACACACTAGTTTGCGCTATTAGGAGCGAAAGTTTTCCATTGGCTTGGCAGGGTTCCTAATGCGTGAAAAGTTCGTGCAGTACTTAGCCGGTTGTTCGGAAAACCTATTCAATTGGGCCACGTTTTTGGAACTTTCTGCTATCATATTTTATTATCGGCAACTCGAGTTATTTTGCAGGCGAAAATTGCCCGAAATAAAGTCCTATTCTTATGATGACTCAACTGGGACTTCGGGGCAACACAATCGCATGTACACCATAGTCTTTATTTTTCGTTCCTTTAAAGGAACCTTCCGTAGTATTCTGATGCAAATTTTTTGTAAACTGCAAAATTTGCACTGGACTGAAGACATTTTTAAAAAAGATTCTGTTCCCAACAGCCTTTAAGGGAAGCTCCTGCATAATTTAAAGGAGACTCCAGAGGAATTGAGTTGGAAGCATTGGCCAGTTTTTTAAACAATTTCTCTTTCCATCCGAGCGAGTAACTGGCTCTTCTAACAGTCTTTAAAGGTCGCCTCACTTTCATGGATGTGCGATCCTGAGCGGAATCAGCTGATAAATGTGGCCAGTCTTCCTCTGGAAACTGACAATGCACAATATCTCAACCAATCAGACGCGGCTAGTTGAATAAATTTCCCGATCTCGGGCCAAAGTTTAACAGTTGTCTCAGCAACTGGAAACTATCATATAACTTCCAGTTACCAGCTGCTCTCAATACAAAGTTTGCAATATCATGGTAATGGCGCAACTTTGCAGGTTTGTCCGGAAGTTTTAAACGGATGCATCCGACCCCCAAATCACACGTATGTCTAACTAGAACAGTTGCACAAGTTGAAAAAATATTCAACTCCCAACTCGGGTGGTCCAGAGCGGCAAAAAAATTGCAGCCCCATTTTCGAAAGGCCCCAAACGGCAACATTCCGACACCCTCGGGACATGAATCCCGCATTCGGCGTTTTGTAATGAAAAGTGCTCCATTTGTGGAAGGCTTTTTATTGGAGGTGTTCGAAGTTTAACAACGGTTTCCTTTAAAAATCCCGAGGTTTTACTGGAAATGTGTAACGTGCGTGACGCGACTGGCAATCGAGCCGAACCGAAGCTGAATCGGCGGGGATTTTTTTTGCTAATGATGGTTTCTTGTGCAGAGTCCGACTCCACCGCAGTACGTGTTTTGGTATCACAACGACAAAATGATCAACTACGACAATGCAAGGGGCGGCATCACTGTGGAGACTGCTTTGGGCCCACCAAGAGCCCACAGCCGGCTCACCATCCAGAACACCAAGCAGGCGGATTCCGGAAATTATACTTGTTCTGCATCCAACACCGAACCGGCATCGATCCACGTTTTTATATCAAAAGGTACTAGAAACTCAACCAGTGTGTTCTGCTCCCAGAAGAAATGTTTAGATTCATTTGAAATTGAGCTGAGGGTTTTTTTTTTTGAAAAAATACGAGCAACACGTTGGATTTTCAGGTGTTGACGCACTAATACCAATGCGGCTGCCGCGTCAATGTAACGCGTCAGCGCATTTTATGATGCAGTTAAACAAAATGCGGGACACATTTCGAATTGAGTTTTTCTAAAAGGAATTTGCCATAAACAAAAATGCTTTACAAGTTCAGAGTTGGGCGTTCAATAGAGGATAGGGCGCTCTCAATGCCGTGAAGATATTGGRAACTTAAAWCAWMCTGACGAAAATTGTGCGCAGGAWTTGAARAAACTGTTGCSGGWCAMATTTTGWATCGCGTTTTTYRAAAMKAAATTTCTCAGAAACKCAAAATRYTCTASAAGTTCAGAKMWGTGCRATCAGTAAAKAAGAGTGCGCTMAAAATGCCGATAAAATGTCGAATTTCACTCATWGCCAATAAATTTTGGGCRGGATTTSAAGGAACTGATGCGGGACACATTTTGCATCGCATTTTTCAAAAATAAATTTCGCAGAAACGCAAATTACTCACAACACTAAATAGGAGTGCGCTCAAAATGCCGATAAAATGTCGAATTTCACTCATAGCCAATACGTTTTGCGCAGGATTTAAAAAACCTGTTGCGGGACAAATTTTGTATCGCGTTTTTCAAAAATGAATTTCTCAGAAACGGAAAATATTCTACAAGTTCAGAGCTGTGCGATCAGTAAAGAAGAGTGCGCTAAAAATGCCGATAAAATGACGAATTTCACTCATAGCCAATAAATTTTCTGCAGGATTTGAAAACACTGTTGCGGGACAAATTTTGAATCGCGTTTTTCAAATATGAATTTCTCGGAAACGCAAAATGTTCTACAAGTTTAGAGCTGTGCGATCAGTAAAGAAGAGTGCGCTCAAAATGCCGATAAAATGTCGAATTTCACTCATAGCCAATACATTTTGGGCATGATTTGAAAAAACTATTGCGAGACAAATTTCGAATCGCGCTTTTCAAATACAAATTTCTCAGAAACGCAAAATACTCTACAAGTTCAGAGCTGTGCCATCAGTAAAGAAGAATGCGCTCAAAATGCCGATAAAACGTCGAATTTCACTCATAGCCAATACATTTTGGGCAGGATTTGAAAAAATTGTTGCTGGACACATAATGGACAATATGGACATAATGGACAATAATTTCTCAGAAACTCAAAATTCTCTAGAAGTTCAGAGCTGTGCGATTAATAAAGAAGAGTGCGCTCAAATTGCCGATAAAATATAGAATTTGCGAATTTAAAACTGTTGCGGGACAAATTTTGAATCGCGATTTCCAAAAATAAGTTTCTCAGAAACGCAAAATACTCTACGAGTTCAGAGCTGTGCGATTAATAAAGAAGAGTGCGCTCAAAATGCCTCCAACATGTGTTTAGAACAGCAGCAAATCTGTCCAAAGCCAAACTTATTTCCAATCAGCAAAGCAAATAAATAAAAATATAAAGGATCCATAACACTTCAGTTGCTTGTCAGAAAACTAGACTCAGTTCATGTTAAAAGGTTTATAGATTAGAGATCATGTTTAGCAGCTTTTTGCAAGCTGGCGCCCTATCCTCCGTTAGTTCTGAAAAAGTGTTTCTACATTTCATTTTCACACTAAATACAATAAACATCCACTTCGATTAAAAAATTTTTTGAATTTGAATGAAAAAAATTAAAAACAATTTTCTCCACCTGAGTGGCAAAAAACCCACAGAATAAAAATGCTTTATAATCATTTGATTGTTCGCCCTTTCGATGACTCAATTATTTTCGTGTCAGTTCGATTTCAGTTTGTTTATTGTTGACATTTTTGTAGAAATTTCCTGTTCGCACGGCAATATTTCGAAAGGAAAAGTTAATTTTCCTTTCCTAAAAAAATTGACTAAACAAAAAACCGCGAGAAATCACTCAAAAATGAAGCGCTCGCTCAACTTTTTAAATTTCAAGTAATTAAAAATGTCCTTTAAAAGTTCCTGATTTCAGGAATTATTCATAATTTTCATTGGAGCTTTATCTTCTAGTTATGATCATCTTTGCTCTTTTTGTATTATATGTTTTTCAATGTCCTCTGGGTCATTGCTTCATCTGCTAGCGCCAGATCTCAAGCTTTAATTAGTCAAAATGTGCCATTTATAACTCTGTCCAGTGCTCCAAATGGGCAAAAACAGGCAGAATGCATAGCATTTTGGCCTAATCTTGTATATCATATTCAAATTTCGCCTTTTATTTCAAGCTTGAAATTTTCTTGTCGCGTAACCAASAGCTCARTCGGAGCCAAACTCACACTACAACTAAGCTGACTGTTAGTGTGGCAATTTCCAATTTTTSGASTGTTTTTCTTGAATGTTTGGTGTTATTTTTGTAAACCACAGTCGAGAATAACGAGTCTCCGTTGCATTTAAAATAAATGTACACATCCGTTCTGSGACTGTATATTTTGGCACTCTATGGAAATTATCTTCGTCCACCCTCAATTTGAAACTAATAGACCCTGGCTGGCTCAATACTGTTAAATAATTCAAAAATGTGTACGCTTCGACTCTGGTATTATCAAAGAAAACAGCGGTATTAGCGCAGCTAGTGGAATATTAATGGATACGCTGGCTGCCAGCCCATGTATGCACACTGTGTAGTCATAATAAATACAAGGGAAATGCAAACGCCATGAACAAACGATAACCCGGGGTGTTTTCCAATAGACTACATGTTTGTTCTTCTCCAGGTTAAGGGCGTTTCTTTAGATTACGCTCAAAGACAATGCGATATGTGGAAGCTCGATGGAATCTCTGATTGCATCGCTGCTAGTAGGTGGAAAATTGTTTAAGCTTGAGAGTGAATATCCATGAGAAAGCGAAGCTCCAACGGTCTCTAATAAAACAAAGTGCGTTCGTTCCATACGCACCATGATAAAACACAGAGCGACCCCATTAGCCGAATTAAGGTGTGTTGACTAGAGACACTTTATTGCCATTCTGAACTTAATTAGGCCGGTTTAATCGCCTAGTTGCGTAATAAAACTCTTTATAGTCTAATTAATATTAATAAAGTGTAATGAGTCGGGGCCGTAGACATAATTATTGTTTTTATCCGGCGAAGTAGGCACCCCGTCCGAATGCTAATAAAATATTAAATATCCGCACTAGCGAAGGGGGATCAGTTTTCCGGGCTCGTAAACTTCGGTTCCGGGTTAATATGGATGAGTTTTGCAGGTTTTGGGGGCCGCGTATTGTCTGTTTCAGTGTTTCATTGCGGCAAATTCGCCACCCAACTGGATCGCGTTGCGATTTTGATTCATTTGAAGTTTTTTTTTTTGGAAATGCGTCCAGAGGTTGAGATTTTTTGCAAAATAGTCTTCTAATTTTCTATGTAAGTATGTGAGCTAAATCCATTTAATGGTTTCTTCGCATTTTATTTGGGAACTTTGGCAGGCTTTGTCAGAATCAAATCGGTAACTTTGGGCATTTKTTTCACTTTTTGCCAAGTTCTTGGGTCAATAATAAGGAAGAAATCGTCGGCTGAAGATCGCGAACTCTCAAAAAACGCTTAAAATGTGGCGAAAATATCTATTATTTCGTATCTGAAACTTCTAGCATGTTTTTTAATGAGTTCGATGCATTCGATGCGTCCGTGAGCTGAAAATGATGTAAAATTTAAAACAGTTTGAGAAAATTTTAATTTTTTCAAAAAATTTACCCCCACCCTTGGAAAAATTTCGACCAAAAATCAAAATTTCGCATGCGTGTTTTTTGAGCTCAATCGATTCCTTTCGACGTAAGAAGGTCACAARTRTGCRTTTATAAAGTKTTTGGGTCAATAATAAGGAAGAAATCGTCGGCTGAAKATCSCGAACTSTYAAAAAACRCTTAAAATGTRSYGAAAATGTCTATTATTTCRGAYCYGAAACTTCTAMCATGYTTTTTAAWGAGWTCGATGCATTSCTYGCGTCCGTGAGCTGAAAATGATGTAAAATTTAAGACATTTTGAGAAAATTTTAATTTTTTCAAAAAATCGACCCCCATACTWRGRAAAATTTCGACCAAAAATCAAAATTTTMCATGCGGGWTTTTTGAGMTCAATCGATTCMTTTCGACGYAAGAAGGTCACWAATGTGCATTTATAAAGTGTTTGGGTCAATAATAAGGAAGAAATCGTYGGCTGAARATCCCGAACTCTTAAAAAACGCTTAAAATGTGGCGAAAAGGTCTATTATTTCGGATCTGAAACTTCTAACATGTTTTTTAATGAGTTCGATTCATTCCTTGCGTCAGTGAGCTGAAAATGATGTAAAATTTAAGACATTTTGAGAAAACTAAAATTTTTTCAAAAAATCGACCCCCACCCTTAGAAAAATTTCTACCAAAAATCAAAATTTTACATGTGGAATTTTTGAGCTCAATCGATTCCTTTCGACGTAAGAAAGTCACAAATGTGCATTTATAAAGTGTTTGGGTCAATAATAAGGAAGAAATCGTCGGCTGAAAATCCCGACTCTTAAAAAACGCTTAAAATGTGGCGAAAATATCTATTATTTCGGATCTGAAGCTTCTAGCATGTTTTTTAATGAGTTCGATGCATTCGATGCGTCCGTGAGCTGAAAATGATGTAAAATTTAAAACATTTTGAGAAAATTTTAATTTTTTCAAAAAATCGACCTCCACCCTTGGAAAAATTTCGACCAAAAATCTAAATTTCGCATGCATGTTTTTTGAGCTCAATCGATTCCTTTCGACGCAAGAAGGTCACTAATGTGCATTTATAAAGTGTTTGGGTCAATAATAAGGAAGAAATCGTCGGCTGAAAATCCCGACTCTTAAAAAACGCTTAAAATGTGGCGAAAAGGTCTATTATTTCGGATCTGAAACTTCTAACATGTTTTTTAATGAGTTCGATGCATTCCTTGCGTCCGTGAGCTGAAAATGATGTAAAATTTAAAACATTTTGAGAACATTTTAATTTTTTCAAAAAATCGACCCCCACCCTTGGAAAAATTTCGACCAAAAATCTAAATTTCGCATGCGTGTTTTTTTAGCTTAACCGATTCCTTTCGACGTAAGAAGGCCACAAATATGCATTTATCAAGTGTCTCGGTCAATAAAAAGGAAAAAATCGTAGGCCGAAGATCGCGAACTCTCAAAAAACGCTCAAAATGTGGCGAAAATGTCTATTGTTTTGGATCTGAAACTTCTAACATGTTTTTTAATGAGTTCGATGCATTCCTTGCGTCCGTGAGTTGAAAATGATGTAAAATTTAAGGCATTTTGAGAAAATTTTAATTTTTTCAAAAAATCGACCCCCACCCTTAGAAAAATTTCTACCAACAATCAAAATTTCACATGCGTGTTTTTTGAGCTCAATCGATTCCTTTCGACGCAAGAAGGTCACAAATGTGCATTTATAAAGTGTGTGGGTCAATAATAAGGAAGAAACGAATCCGAATCGAAATCGGATAAAGATGACGCATTCCGAGCTTAAAGTATTCAGCTAAAATTTCTTGAAATTAAATCCTAAGCTTTCCAAATTACAAAGGCAATTTATCAATCAATACACGCGATACAAAGCCACTCTTTTAAGTAGCCTTTCGCTACAGCTTCACTTTCACTGTTCTTTTAGGTTCAACTGAGGCTCTTGAGCCTCTGGAACTTGGACAGTTTAAGCGGAGAAATCAGAAATCCTGGACATTTTTTGACGTTAGGCAATTCCAGCACTGCCACCTTCATAAGGACCTTTAAAAGAAGCTTTACTTTCATTATTAAGTTGGGAAATTTGGCTGTTTCCATGATTTTACCCCATTTCCGCAAAACAGTATTCAATGGGCCGTTTCTTAATAACTAAACCAGAATAGAGCAGGCGGCTCTATTCGGGAGCTTTTAAAGGACACATCGGTGTCATGGTGGTGTGAATTTTATCGGAATCCATTCAAGAGTTTCATTGGCATTAAATCGGAAACTTTCGCAATTTTTGTTACTATTTGCCATTTTAGTGGTGGGCGGGTTTACACGGAGAATTCAACCCCCAATCAAACCCAATGGAACCCAATTGGATTGAACGAATTTTAACTTTCGGCCCGTTTACGAATATTCCTAAGTAACATGGGTAGATGCACTCCCTAATCCAGTCAACTGTACCTGCACACCTTTCTTTTCTATTCCATTAGTGGATGGCCCCACAGGCAAAAGAAAAAAAAGTGAAACCCACTGAAATCGATCTAACGTTGCGTTTGGCCCAACAAACAGAGCGAATTTTTTTCGAGTGCGACTTGGGGCGCGAAAATTCCCCACTGAATTTCCCCATTTAACAACTGGATGTAATAAATTGATTTTTCAGCATAGGCGACTAGTGAATCGCCTGCGGAATTGTGGAAAAGCCGCTAAATTGATTTCTGGTTATTGGATTATTTGCTGGCTTCGCTTTTGATAAGGTGGCCAATTTCGGCACATTAATAGCAAGTGTGTTGCCTCATTTCTTTAGTACAGCGAGGCATATTTGCCCGGCCGATTTCCGCATCAGAAGGGTGTTTTCTATTAGCGAAAACCCAGCCTATAGGTCAAAAAGGATTTTCCTATCAGATTCGTCCGGAATATCATGTTTTCCGGCCGCTGCTGATGTGGGTCCGAGGGTGCCATTTAATAAATGACGTGCTTTTCCTTCGTTCCGTGCGTCCTGGAAAATGCCGCCAACTGTTAACTGAAACGGTTCCGAATAACCGGCCCACTATAAATAGATGTGGTTTTTCGTGGCATACTATTATTCTATTCTATTATGTTCGTGCGATACTTTGATGGAATAATAAAAACAACATATTTAGTGAGGGACTTCGCTCGCCAGCCCATTAGTCATACTTATTCATTATTAGGCAAAGCGATAAATCGTCCTTCTGATGACACAAGGCAAATCGACTAGATTCTATTATTTTCTGG